CCGAGTACGATCGTGCCGCGCCCCTGCGCTCTGCCCAACGGCCCGTGCGTCCGTCCGACCTACCGTCAACGCATCATTTTCCGTTAGCCGTTGTCCAAGCACGCCCTTGCGTCAGGGACCGTGGCATCGTTTAAATCTCATGCGTCGACAAAGCCGTGTCAGCTGTGTTCATATGTGCCCCGAGTTGCTACGCCGGACCCAGACCACAGTTAAGCCGAGCTGCACATAGTCAAGAAAGTAACCGGTCAGTTCCAAATGAGCTGCCGGTCAAGTCCAGTTGAACCAGTCTGGGCATTCCAGATGGTTCGCGGAGTCTCCAGTTCAGTCGAATCAGTCCGAGCAGTCCTAACGGTTCGAAGAATATCCAGTTCAGCCGAATCAGTCTGGGCAGTCCAGACGGTTTGGGAGTTTCAGTTCGGAACATCGGTTTGATTGTGAACTGAGAGTGCAGTATTTTTCCGAACCCAGTCAAAAATATAGTCCAGACTTAGAATTATTTCGAAGGACTCTAGTATGCCTCAAAGATAATAAATTTCTAAAACCAGCTCGTAAATTCCTAAAATGAGTTTTAAATGATTTTAAACCCGAGTGAGTGAACCTAGTCAGATCAGATAATAGATTCGAGTTTTCATATTGAACCTAGTACTTAGAGTATATATTGTGCTTATATATTTTATAGCTTGTGGGGAGTCGAGCCTCCGACAGTTGCAATCCATTCAGCACTTGCATCTCAACATATCAGGTGGGGACCCTGTACTGGGTGCTACATTTTCTATAATCGTATTATCCTGGCTGAGGTATGTATGTAAAAGTTAGTTTGTCTGAATAGAGGCAATAACCTAGCGAGTAGGTCCTTTCTAGCTAAGTGAATCGAGCGCTAGTTAAGATAAAATAAGAACTCTAGTGCAGCTCTGAGATAAACTCCAACTTTAAAAGTGCATAAGAGTTAGTTTTGCCTAAGCATGAGCATTGACCTATAGATTAGGGCCTATAGTCAGTCGAGCAGTAGCTATAGGCAGTCAGTCGAGCAGTAATTATAGACAGATCAATCGAGCAGCAGTTAGTCAATCAGGCGAGTAGCAGTTATAGTCAGTCAGTATAGCAGCAGTTATAGACAGTCAGTTGAGCAAGAGTTATAGACAGTCCGTTAAGCAGCAGTTATAGATAGTTTACTTATTTATATGTCGATGATGATCATATTAGATGTATGCTTAGGTTGTGATGTGTTTATCATATTAGATGTATGTTTAGTTCGAGATGCATTAGTATAATGTTTATTATAGTATTTTTTCTGCCAAGTCTAGTAGGTACTTGCATATATACTGATGTCATGATATGTTATTACATTGGATGTGTATCCAGTGTCGGTTCCGGCGGAGCACGTTGATTTATTATGCTCACGCCCCCCACTAACTATTTTTCAGGTGACGGAGTCCCGCGTGGCGCGTGAGCTGGATGTGGTGGTGGTCATAAGCGAGGATATTTTGTTATAACATGTCATGTATTATTTGAACATGTTTGAATTGTTTATGTTTTGTTTTAACTTGTATTCGTTTCTGCATTCAAATCAGAAATACAGAATTCAGTTTATGCATACCTAATTACAGTAAATTTTTATGGCGCCTACTAAAGTAATGAATTTTTACTTGGTTGCATGCGTAATAGTAAAAGAGAAAAGAGATGAGAATTCAGATTAATTGAGTAGTATCCCGCAGTTAGAAAAGTATTTTTCGAAAAAGTTAATATGAGTTTTCGAAAATTAAATCAGTGTTTTCAAATTTATCTTAAAGCGCGAAAATTTTACTCTGATTTCTATTAATAGTAGGCAGGGTGCTACATATGTGATTTTGATAGTTTAGTTGTGTCTATATGGCGAAAACTGCTTTACTCTTATATTATTGTGATTAATGGACCAAATTGTTCAAGTTCTATAATAATGACCATATTTTGAGCTCATAAGGTATAATGTATTATCAGTACACATATTTAATCTAGTGGGAGATTGTTAGATCTATTTTGGTATTAAATATGTGTAATTGTTATATTGAGTCATTATATTAATTAGCTAAATTAAGTGATCAAATTATTGTATGTATATATTGGCTAAGGAACATAGTTTAAATTGTGAAATAATTAAATGTGGACACTGGATAATAATATTATTTTATGACGTAACAAATAATAATATTAAGTTTAAATGATCTAATTATAAAATAAATTAGGTCAAAATTGATAATGGGTAGAATCCTAGAAGCCGTGATAAATACAAAGAGACCTTTGGAATTCTTCATTAGGTTATAAGAAGAAAAACCGTTCTGCCTCATTATTCTCTTCATTAGATTTTTATCTTTGTTACGTCAGAAGAGAAGAGAACCGGTTCACGATCTTTTGGAAGATCTTCAAATCTCAAATCCAAATCCCGATTCAAATTCGTATTCTAACACAATCAATCGATATGAATCATTCAAATACATTTCTGTTATTCGATTTGATTCTCAATCTTTCGATATGAATGCTCCTAAAATAAAGCGGTTTTCTCATAAGGTAAGTTCATTAAAAACAGATCAAATAAACTATTTATCAAATCACTATATATTTTAGTCAAAGATTGGAAATGAAAGTTCCATGTGAACAAAGTAGCCAAAACTAGACTCCAATTATGACAGCTGCAAGCCTGCAAGTAATGTAAATTGAACGTTTGAAAAAAAAAAAAAAAAAAAAANAAAAGCTAATGTAAATGGAAATTAAATGTATCCTTGGAGACCATGACAATGAGGAAGAATTAGGCAAACCCCGGCTTTTCACAACCAGCAGCCATGCCATGTGTCTCAACCTGCCTTAAGCAGGCTGGTCAACGTACGGGTGCGACGGGTGGTTACGAATAAGGTTTTTGCTACCCGTCAACCGTGAGCCTACAAAACTCTCCATTTTCACATTTTCAAATGGTAAAATATTCGTTACCATTCTCAACAAACTTCCTTCATATTCGTATCTAGTAGTAAGTACTTTTTTACAGAGCTATAGCTCTTTAGACGCCATAAAAATTACTAGTGCATTTTCAGCATGATCTTCTTAATATATTTTATGTGCGTTTAATATTTTGGGAAATTAAAGAAATGAATTATGGGATTGGATCATTGGATCAGGATGTAAAGAGTTTTTATTTTTTTATATTTTTTTTAGAAAAAAGAATTACCTCGCACGAAAAACAAGATGAAAATTTGAAATTTTTATTTTTCAGAAAGAGTGAGATAGATTTGAAGTTCTGAAAAAATTAATTATTAATACTAATGTGATATACAAATAATATGAATATCATTGATTGGTAATTATTAAAAATTAAAAGTAACCGAGTTGAATAAAAGTATTTTTCTAATATATTATAATGATTATTTCTTAGTGGGGACTACAAAATGTGATAATATTTGGGAAAAACAAAAAAAAAAAGATTATTCTAATAAGATAAATCTTAACTAAAAACATTGTATTAATCGCAGAGATAGATTGTTATCCCTCACCTAAATATCAGTTGTAGTGTAGCGTGGCACTTTCTAGCCCTAATTGAACAACTTTTTAGGCCACCTATATACCTACCTATACATTCATACAACTTTATAGAACAACTCAACCATCCTCCTCATCAAACAATTCAATTTACTCGTTGTTTTGCTTCAACACGATTAACCACGTATCCACGACTAGATGGGCCCCACGCGTATTCTCTCTCTTTATATATCCTTGAAATCCAACAATCAAAGTCGCATACTCGCATCTAAAATACTTTTAAAGGGAAGGTGATATAATTGGGGAGGAGAGAGACAAATACAAATATACAATGGCGTGTATCAAGTCATTGATCATTGTAATGTGCGTGGGCATCGTGGCCACGCTTTCTTCGGTATCCGCTCAGAGTGAATTCCCGGCGCCGGCACCGGCGCCGTTTCCCGACGCCGGCGCTGCTTCCGTACTGCCGGTTTCCGCCGCCGTGGTGGCTTCTACGGTGGTGCTATCTCTGATGGCTCTAATCCACAACTGAATTCAATTTTTATTTGACGGCCCCATTTATATATATATACTCGCAGCGAATTGATGATTTATACTTGGATTCGATGGATATTCTTTTTTCTCTTGTGATATATAGATTGAGAGGTTATGATGTTATATACAGTGATTTTTTATCAGAATAGGATGAATTTGTTGTGTTAGTATGCAATGGTTGAGGAATAAGAGCGAGAGGGAGTTCTGTTGTTGTATCGCCGCTTTTTTTTTAGTGCTATATGAATGAATATATGATTATACTTTTTGTATTTGTTTGTTACTAAAACTTCAGAGTTCAGAATCACTCTTACCTGTCATTCACCTTCCGACTTCAAATTAAACGACATAAAATGAGAGGAGATTTTGCTGGAAAAGAAAATTTCCGTGCTCTTAAATAGCTGCCGATATGTTAAAAAAAAAAATGTCAAAATTGTCCGATTAAAAACTGTATTGAATTGTTCTTGAACATGCTATTCTCCTAGGCGATCAATTGGTTTTTTGGGAAAAAAAATTATACAAAAATCAGTTTTTCGTAACAAAAAAAAAACATAATAATAAAAAATAAACATATAGAACGTTGTACACATCAAATTTTATATCCAATGTAAGCTTTGTAAAATCTGACTATTTATGTATATTTTCCTTATCAAGAAAAGCAATTGAAACTCCACAGATTCATCAAGTACATTCACAATAAACAGTGTAGCATTCATTCAGCTGCAGTTTGACATATTACATAAAATGTATAATATTCATTATCTTGTGATAAATTGTATTGATACAAGAAAATCAAGCAACAAAAATGAACATTCACAGTACAAATCTCCTGTCTTTTATATGCTATACCTTTCATGCACGGATGAAACCATGCTAACAAGCCAAAAGTAGCAAAATTTGTATCCAGCCAATGGTGAAGTAACCCCTTCAGCGTAAGGAACACGATATTTATATGTATATATATATATTTTTTTTTTTTTTTTGGGTTCGAATTTGGACTACAATGCAACTTACAAATCTATTGTCTCGCGTTTTTCTTTCACAAAATGTGTTGGGAAAAGTAAAATCTATAATAAACCGCCATACAATTTTAGCAGACAATGGCCAACATTACATCTTCGAATACAATGCTTCCAAAGAGATTTTACATCATCTGAAATTGCCAGGAAAAAAAAAAAGTGTCAGAAAACAATCTTCTTTCTACAGCGAAAAGCATCGAGATTTGTTTTCCATTACATTGCATAACTATGCATAATTTAAAGGAATTATGTTAGTAACACCCAGAGAAGAGAGAATCCTACATTCTCACAACTATGAAAATTATAACATACGAAGAAAAATATTAGAGTGTTTGATATAGTAAACTATAAATATTACTCACACTGGTACTGCCGTTTACTACTACTGTTTAACTATTAAGCAGTGTTATCTATGGTGGATGGCAGCGAGCCAAAAAACACCATATATATATGGCGGATATAGTGGCGGACTCTAAAAAAATAAAAATTTATGTATTTTCTAATATCTATACACAGACACATACATACGTAACACCGTAGTTAAGCTTATGTAATGTCAGTTAATGCATAAAATAAAATTAGTCACATAAGAAAGAGCTGAAAATCAAAGCAAAATAAACAAATAGAGAGTTTAAAATAAAGGGGAGCCAGAAATAATTATTTTTAAATAAAAGAGAGCTGAAAATTAAAATCAATAAGTAATCTGAAAACGTAAAGAACATTAATAAAACACTGACTTTTTAATTAATGTGAAAAAAAAAGAAATATTAAAAGAACTAAATAAAAGTATATAAATTAGGCAGCCAAAAGACGAGACGAGAAGATAAAAAAAAAATATCTNAGTGAGTATTAAGTATTTCAACTTCAGCACCAAGGAAAACATATGACATTTTGAAATATATTTTTGAGGAAAACATTCCAATTTTCTAATAGACAGCTGGAAAAGATCGACCAGATTTAAATATGCAACCGGAAAAGATTGGGTTTGCAAAAGCCTACCCATTGATAAAAGAAAGGCCATAACAGAAGCATAAATATTGCAGTAGGAGCATAATATGGTAATTCTATAGTTGAGGAAAATAAGAAGGAACCTGAAATTTTTCTTTATATTTAGGATCACCTAATCTGCAAATTACGTAGAAAGTCTGAGAGCCTGAAAAGGAAGCAAACAAGTATTAATAGGCCAAGATAAAACAATTATCTAAAAATACGAGTCAGCTAGGAAAAAGACCTGATATCTTTAGCTATAACCGTATTTCCATCTTCAGCCCCAAGATGGCGAAGAACAACTTCCTCAAGACGACCATCACGATATGCATGCTGTGGAAAAATAATTTAAGCATTGATTAACAGAACAAGGAGAATCCTTTACACATGAGAAAGAAGCAGTCAGGGAAGAGAGAATCAGAATTACTCCATAAAAATCGTATAAAAAGGTTTTAAAAAAATGTGTTTTATATGTACTACCATAATAAGTCCCAAATGATTTGCCGTCATTCTTCGTCTAAGAAATAGTCAGACTTTCACGACATTATATTCAATTCAAATTGCAGTCTGAAGTCGGCTAAGCACCTAATTCCAAAACTACGACAGGACCATTACTATCGCTATAATAGATGCTTGAATGTTTTTTTTTCTTAAAATATACAGCACACATCACGAATCCCTTTTCAACATCCATAACTCCACCCATTGAACTTTAATAAGTGCCAAAAGATATAGCATCAAAGCCAAAATAACGTTAGAGGAGCCTACAACATATCTGATCTACTGCCACAAAACCAATGCACTCCTACTAAAATCCCCATCATAACTTGAGAATATTAAGTATATATTTTTACACCTCCATCAGATTATACAGAGCAACCAGCAGATATAGCAGAAACATTCAACTTTCAGAGGCAAAAGTTGCCTGAACAAGTGATCTCAGACTGGAGAAAGATAAAGTAAAACCATTAAGATAGATAAGCACATGGACCAAACATCTACCCCAAAAAATATAAATGAAGGCAATGCAACAGAAAAAAAGAATGTGCAATGAAATATACCGACATTTTAAAACAGAATAGAGACCTTGTAAAAACAACTGGTCCCAAACGGGCAGGATCCACTCCCAAAATCAAAGTGCTTGCAATCAATAGACCTGAAACAGAACAAGCAGCCAAATGACAGCAAGGAAAGGAATCCAAAGAAAAGGAAGTCGACAAGAAGGTAGGGTGGCTCCATACTTCAGCTTTGCCTTGTAGCTCTCGACAATACCGCTCTTCTCCTCCTCCGAGAAATACCAAATCACGCTTGGGATTACAAAGTACGAAAGCTTCCGGCAAATAGGGCAAGCTCTTAATGCAGAATTAATGTCCAAGCCAGAGGCCGGCGAATTACCTCTCCAGCTCCTTATGCACGAAACACAGAAAGGGTGATCACACTCTGACAGAATCCCGAATTTCCTTTCTGCTGGCGTGGGTTTCGACAGGACGAGCTCGAGGCACACGCTACACTCTATTCCTTGACTGCGTGTTAGGGCCTCCAGATGCTTTTGCCTTTTCTCACACGTTTTTATGTGCTCTTCTCTTTCGTGCAGCCTGGTGGGGTGCAGGCACAGTCTCCCGCAACTCGGGCACAAGTCCCCATGAATGTGGGGGCATTTTTCGCCACGCGGGCAGTTTCCAGCAGCAGCAAAAGAACACATAGGCTGATCTAATGGGTCAAGGTTGCTGGAGTAATCAAGATCGTGATTATAACTATCGAGAGCATTTCCAGTTCTGGATTGGGCATTCCATGCAGGAATGGTGGGTGAGTAAAATGGTCCAGCAAAAGATGAACAACCAGGACTGGTATTATCTTGAGCATCTGATGAAGGCCTAGAAGCTTTGACGTGTTCGTATCTGCACCGGCTGCCATAAGCACAAGCTCCTTTTTGATAGAAGGTACATATCTGCAATTTATTAAGAGGAAAGAGAAAATGAGAAATTGATTTAATACAAATAGTAATTAAAGAGTGTTGGTGATACAAGCCGGTTTAGAGGCAGTTACATTGTTAGGTTGAGCTTTCCGATCATGGGCGAACTCACAGTGCTCCCCTTTTAGACATGCCCCATGAGCAAAGAATTTGCATTGGACCCTGGAATAGTCTACAACAGTCAAATTTTGTTTTTACACTCACTGTTTCACCACAGATATTGATTACTTGATCACAGAATGGTAGTTGAAAAATGAACATGGCATTTCCTTTGGAACAACTTTCTAAAGTGTCCTCAGATAGACATAACCAGGAATAGAAATATCAAAAGTACAGGCAACATTCAAGAGAAAAGAAGAAGGAATGAACGGAATTTTTTCAAAAACAAAAAGGGAAGAGAGAACAGAAAAGAAAATGCAAGTTTTTAAAGATAAAGGTAAATTGAACTATCATCACAAAAAAAATGTAAGATTTTTCTCCTTTTTCCACAAATATTCAACATTTTTCCCAAAATGAAGAAGATGATCAGCTAACAGACTTACCTACAACATTAAATCCTTAAACATAATATTTGTACGATGAAATCCCACAAAAATCCAAAACAATTATCGTACAGTCATTGGATAAGCTGTAAAATAAATTTGAGAAACGCGTAGAGTATGTGCTATGAGATGAATTTGAAAAATATCAGAAGAAGAAGAGAATAAGAATTGAACATCGCACCGTTTAGACATGCCGTCCCCCCGAGAACACCAGTGAAGCGATTAATGGACCGATAATGAAGAAAGTGTTCGGTCAATCAAGAAAATGCGAAATTGGGAGAGTATTTAGGGCTTTTTGAGAGTGGTGATATTATGTGAAATTACCACTGGGGCCGTCATGTGGCTCTTGTCTAATAGTAGAATGCCAAATTCAACAATTTCCTACATATAAAATTCATTACATACATGTCCTAAAGATTTTCAATTACTAATTTACAACTTTTTGCAATGTTTACCAAAAATATGCCCCTATTCAATTATAGAAGAAAATTGGTACTTTATTAACACCTCCTATCATACATTTATAGTCATATATTACCAAAATAAGATGACTATGATCAAAACCGAAAGGTGATTAATAAAGATAATAAAATCTCACTTTAATTCTTTTTTTTTTAGTCAGAACGATAGAAAATTTATAGAAGAAAAACACAAAAGAGCACCTACAATGCATTAGGTCTCATTTTACTTAAGTAGTATATAGATGGACTTGAGTCCTGTATGACATGGACAAACTCAAGTAAAAAAGAAAATAAACCCTAAAGTTATCAAGTGCAAAAATAAAATACTATGTCTAGAATATCTTCCAACCAATAAACATGTTCTAATATGTTTTCTATATTAAAAGAGAAAATAAATTAGGAATAAATGTTCACTGTTCAGATTTGTACTTAGGTCTAAAATAGACTTAAGAGTGATCTTTGTCTTATTTTTTTTATTGTCACATAAGTTAGACCATGTCCAATTTTAATTGCATTGAAAAATATTATTGGCTAAATCTATTTCCTATGTGGCATGTGATATTTTTTTAAGAGACTCAAAGCATTGTAGGTGCTCTAAATACAACTAGAAAACATCTCAAAGCGGAATAAAACAGCTTAAGAGTCGAATCTAGTGGGAGGAGAGATCTAAGGATCGCCCAGAACCTACACTAGAACAAATGCACTCACTAACAAAAACAACAAAAAACTAAGAGAATGTTTGTTTGTGGAATTTTTTCAAAAAATTTCCAACATTTTAACTCAACCACTTTTTTTAATTCAACTTTAACTCAACTCCACTATCATCAAAATTATCAATATAATTAAATAATATCAATCAATCATTCATACACAACACATCAACCTTAATTCACTATTCATCCACTCATATTATTTTAACTAACTATCACTTCAAATCTCTCTCTCCTACTTTTACATCAAATTAATTTTAATTATTTTATTTTAAATATTATTTTAATATACCCACTAACAACTAACCATACCACATTTTTCAAAATTAACCAAACCAAATCAAAAAATCCAAACAAAACCAAAAATTTTTATAAATAAACATGCTTTAACTAACTCCACAAATGGAGAATAAAACTCACCTAGCAAAGAACACACACGCCCTTACGGGAGAAAAAACACAAAACACACAAAACATGAAAGCACTAGAAAAACACAATAACATGAACCCCAAAACACAACATACTACAAACCCACTCCCGCAATGCCAAATGAGTCTTCAGACCTCCACCCCGGATGACAACCAGGAAGAGATCGGAACCACACATGGTCAATCGTCCAACATCTCTAGCGCAAATAATAGACCTAGGCACACACAAAGCCGCACAAACCACAAAAAACAACAGAACACTCAAAAACTAACTAACAAAGAAAGCCCTCCTCCCAACCGGCTTTCAACTCCATAACAGTCCCGCCACCAACCACCGAGAGTGACCACCCGCACAGACAGAAGACTGGGAAAGCACCGAACCGGAAACTGCAGAAGGCCTAACAAGAGCCAGTACTCCAGCCCCGAAAAACTCTCCCAGGAAATCGTCCCTCGCACCAGCAAGCCTGATGCTAGCCTCAACTCACACCCCCTCACCAGCCAACAGCCAGAGGCCGACAAACCAGCGGTGCCAACAACCCTAAACCGCCAGAGCAGCCCAACACCCTACCCCCAAGAACGTTGGGAAAGCAGGTGGGAGCAGAGCACCGGCCTAGCCCCAAGCTCCAAACACCTCACCAACCACCGGCAGCCCAGTCCGACCAGCCACCGGAGTTACGACCCCCACCACCAGAACCAACCGACCACCCCACCCCAACGGAGCAGAAGAATAGGGGCAAAGTGAGAGACTAACCTCGGCTCTGACCTCCGCAAGGCAGAAATCAGAGAAAAATGACAGGCCACGCCATCGAAAAGCCAGAAACACCTCGAGCACGAAGAGCCCACCCGATGATGAAGAAGTCGTAGCTCAACGAGACTCTAACCGGCTGAGATGCCCACCAATCTATGAGAGACTGGGCGTAAAGGACAAGCGGAGGCAGCGGAGTGCCTTGTCAAGGAGAAGGCCAACGATTAAGATGAAGAGAGCGGCGGGATTGAGCAAAGAGAAAGGGGACTAGGGTTAGAGCATCCACGATGCTTTGGGTCTCTTTTTGTACAATGCTTTAGGTCTCTTTTCGTATATGTGACACATAATTGGACTTGGGTCTTAAATGACATGAACAAACCCAAATAAAAAAACTCAAAAATTTTGCAATGCAAAAATAAAAAGACTAGGTCTAGCATACATGCCAACCAATAGAAATGCTCTAATATATTTTATTCATTAAAAAAAAATTAAATTAAAAACAAATGATGAGTGTTTGGGTTTGTACTTGGGTCCAAAATAGACCCAAGTGTGGACTTGGTCTCTTTTTTTCATTGCCACATAAGCTAGACCATGTCCACTTTTAATTGCATTGGGAAGTATTTTTTTATAGACTAAGTCTATTTCGCATGTGGCATGTGATTTTTTGTTAAGAGACCCAAAGCATTGTGGGCGCTCTTAGAGAGAGGCTTACTTTGGTGCCCACTTCAATCACAAAATTAATAATTGCAGACCTTTTTATTTGATTCAACCAGATAAAAGAAGAAGTTTAAAAAACATAGGGGATTACTATTCACCGTCCCCTTGGACATTTTTGCCCCTGCCATTTTTTTCCAAAAAGTAAAAAAAAATATATATTTTTGTCCGGCCGTCGAAACCGGACGGCCCAAATGGCGTCCGACCCCGACGGCCGGTCGTGACCGGTCCGACCGGCCGGACATTATTTATTTATTTTTTTATTATTATAAAATAATATTATTATAAATTATTATGTTATATATTCAAAATAATTTGTTATAAATTGGACGTTAGAATAAAAAAAAACTCATTCAACTGAAGTTTAACAAAACAAAAAAAAACCATTCAACTTAAAAATGAAAAAAAAAAATACTATTGATGCGATTTTTGATTGTTCTGTAACATGAACGAGCCTGTCTCTGCAATCGAAAAATTATGTATTGATTCAGGGTCTACTAACACCCTGAATCAAAAATATAAAATAATAATTAGTAACTATTTTTTTGCTAACAAATTACATATATATTTTTTAATATATTCTTTAACTATATATATATATATATCTTTTAATAAATATATATATATATATATAATTTTTGTAATACAACTAATTATATATATATATATATTTTTTAATATATCTTTTATTTAACTTTTTTTAAGTGAAATTAATTATGATTAAAAAGTGAAATTTTTTACCCATTTAAATAGTGATTAATTAATTTAATAATATTTAGTAATTATTATTCTTCTGATAATTAAAAATATTTTTTATCCAATAAATTAATTAATATATTTTTTATTTATTAATATATTATTTTTTCGTTTTAAATTAAAATAATTATAATTTTAAATTATAATTTATAATTTTTCATTATAATTGAATTATAAGTATTATTATAATTTATAAAAAAAAAAAACCGTCCGGCCGCCGGAACCGGACGGTTTTTATGCCGTCCGAACCGTCCGGCCGGACGGGCTAAAAGCCGTTCGGTTCCGGCAGCCGGACGGTTTTTGTTTTATTTTTTTGTTTTTTTACTTTTTGAAAAAAAATGCTAGGGACAAAATTGTCCAAAGGGGGACGGTAAGTAGTAATAGGAGACGGTGAATAGCAATTGAGAAAAAATACCAACAAGAAAATTTGAATAAAATATGAGAAACGTGTCGCACCAGAAGAAATCAGTAAGGTTAACTAATGGTTTTAATTCTATTGAACTATGTGTACATAATTCCATTTTCTTATTATTATTATTATTTGGTTTGATGATTGAACCAATCAATAATGCATTACAATTTCTTTTTTAAATCCAGAATTCACGGTTGAAGGAATTGATGTTCTAGTTTGTATTAAGCTGGATATTTAACTTAGGTTGTAAATTTGCAATGACCATCTTGCACTTAATATGATATTTCCTCTTATGGTGTTGGGTCGTCTGCATGTAATCGAACAGGTACTAAAACAAGTAATTGCCCCATAAAAAAGACTCCCACAGTTGGGTGTCATCAAGCAAAGCACACCATCAAGTTTCAATATACCATGGTTTTTTAACATTGTCGTCATGAGCAAGGATGAAATACGTCAACATCAGCATCTTGGGCACTCTCGCAATCACATCACAAGAGACACAGAACGCTCAACTATTGAAGTCATCACGCAACATCTGCATACTGACCCGTTTGCCACCATATCGCTCATAGAAATTCGACGATGGAGGAGGAGAAGGCACAGAGTTCGAGTCAAACACAGACGATACAAAAACAAGCTCAGTCACCGCAACATACTCATGGGCGGAGAAACGTGCAAAATGTTGACCAATACGGAATTACATCTCGTTCGGACTCTGACCGGAACAAGTGATAACCTCGCGCGAAAGAACCTCATCAAGTGTCTTTGCAAAGACACAAGCCTTATCAGGAAACAAGAGGAACCGACCAAAGACGGAGGCCTCAAAATCAGCTCGTGCCCCATCAACATGGGCCAACTTTTTCTTGATTTCAGTAAGAATGGAATGTCAACTGTAAACGTTGGACTTCACACCATCATATTTATCGATCAGGTCATATCTCTTGTACGACCACAAACCCTAATTATCAAACAAACAATGATTTCTTCATATTTCTTAACAATTATAAGTAGATGAAATGAATTTACTTCTCTACAAGAGTTGGTCGTCGGACCCTTGTCCGCAGCCGCTGAGTTGCACACCGTCGGATTAGTGTCAGCAGCCACTTGGTCGTCCGTCGCTGCTGAATCTCCTTCCAACTCTTCAAGACTGAAGTCTTTGACAAATTCATACTCCATAACGTCGGTCATCTCTTTTTAACAATTTATTTAGTTCTAGTTATGTAAAATAATGTTGGAAAGCCAATTTTTTACCCTTCTCTCTTTATTGTTTTGTTCTCTTGGGAAGTATGTGTAACAGAGTAAAAGTAAAAGTAAAGTAACAGTTGGTGTGTGAAAGTGAAATGCTTCTACCTTTTTTTTGTAATAAATAATAACTGCGATAAATGTGCGCCAAAACATTTGTCGTGTAATAATCGCATAGTACAAATTTACTAAAAATAAATTTTTTACAAAACTAATCAGCGATTAATTATGCGTTGAAGTTTCACATATAATCACATATTTTAATATAAAATATAAAAGTAATGGTATTGCGGATCACATTGTTAATAAATAAATAAATATAATTATTTTGCGAATAAATCTTCGTACATCCATCGCAGTTTTATCGCAAAGTAAGAATTTACCAACATAAAATTTCAATTAAATTAATCTGCGATTTATTATGCACATATAGATTTGCCTAATAATCGCCTAACAAATAAATTTCATTGTTCTGCAATATGGTATTCATATCTCTTACGCAGTTTAATCACAAAATGTGAATTTACCATTTGAAATTATTATTACTCTATGATTTATTCTGACGCATTTATATCGCATTGTTATTGCAAAACAATTGCATAATGACTTGCATTTTCCGAGGCTAGCCACTCATTATTTTTTAATAACAAAAATAAATGGTCCACAAAAAGGGGTCTGCGAATATACTACGATTGACTTGCGATATATCGCATTGTTGTCGCAAAACAGTCGCATAATAACCTGCATTTCTCAAGGCAATCCACTCTTTGTTTTTTTAGTAACAATAATAAATGTTAAGGGGTATGTGAATACACTACTATTGGCCTACGATATGTCGCATCCTCATCGCAAAATAGTTGCATAATGACTCGCATTTTCTGAGGCAATCATGTCATTCGAACTATCTCTGCATGACGATGAAGTAATGATTATGAAGCAACTTGAAACATTACGTTTCGTGATAAATAGTACATTAATGAAGTCCATGAAGTTTTTTCGACATCCCTAACACTATATGCAACAAAAACAAATACTATATATAATAATTGTGACAAAAAAAAATTAAAAACGTATGTCATGGTTAATTTAAACTTCATTCGCACCCTGATAATGGTGAAAAAATATCAGTGTTTTAAATACCATACCGGTGGGCATACCGGTTTAGCCACCGGTACGCAGTATTACCTGTCGGACCGGTAATATCGGTGGTATTATCGGACTAGCAAATATAATGATATATAAAAATATATAATACCAAATGAAAAAAAGAAAAAAAATAAATGACCATAATCATTAATTTCAACTTCTCAATGAAAAAAAAAAAAAAAAACAAAACATTTAACTTGCCAATTTAAATTTTATGTTTTTAAATTTTTATTTTTTTTATTTTTTTTTATTGGCCGGTATTCTGGGCCTTTATTTTCCAGTATTTACGGTATGATCCCGGTACAAACCGGTATAACCATAAATCCGATATTTAGTGTGTAATTGTACCGTACCAGTTATCACCTAATCTAAACTTGCCATAAACTAATTTCAATGACTTCATTAAATTGCTAATAAAGTACCAACTCTAGCTAATAACAAACTCTGTTAAACAAATTTTCCCTTACCAAGTATGTAATCGAAATAAGCTTTTCAACTAAATGTAACTAGTGACAACCTAAAATAAGCTCTCTATATTTAATGCACTAGCAACGTTGATTTTCAGGAAAATAGATTGGCCCAAGCAACGGACGCACACATTCGGACCGTTTAACTTATGTTCACGCTACCCAAGAGATATGCGACCCCTAGTTTACTAATAAATTACCAACCTAGCTAACAACTCTGTTAACCGAATTTTTCTTTACCAAGTATTTTATTGAATAAGATATTCAACTTAACCTAACTAATGGACAACCTAAAATAAGCTCTATAAATTTAATGCACTAGCAACGTTAATTCCTAGAAAAATAGATTGGTCTAAGCATCAGACGCACATTCGGACCGTTTAATTTATGGTCACGCTACCCAAGAGATGCATGACTTCTAGTTTACTACTAACAAAACAAGACTAAAAATAATTACGGATTAAAATCTTGAATTCAACAATTAATCATGAATACTCAAAGTAGTTGGCCTAACTAAATCAAACATCCATAAGTGCATCTGCATCTCTCCATCATGTCCACATCATCATTCCACTAAACATCTCTCCATTTAAACACTCTTCACATTTGTTGAATTATTTAAATGCATATGTGAGACTCAGTTTTTCTCTTTTAATACATTTAAATAGGTATAATGGCAGGAAAATACACGACCTTTACTTGATTGGTCATTTAATCACGACTTTCAAACCTTGGCAAATAAATACATGACCTTTACATTCTTGGCAACTTGATACACGGATTTAACGTCCGTCAACGGAAAGCTGACGTGGGTCTGACTCAGCAAACAGAAGTCAAATCATCAGTTAAACCTTGGCATTTTAATACACCACCTTTGGTTTTTTGGCAACCCGATACACGAACTTACCCTTTTTTGGCAAAAAGCTGTCACATCATCATTTTATTTTATTTTTAATTTAAATTCATTTAATTTACTTTTATTATTTTTATTTATTTTAATTGTACTTTTACTATTGAAATTATGTTTATAATTTAAATATACAATGATTACAAACAAAAAACAAATAAAAAATATATTATTTTATTTAATTTTCAATTTATATGTTTTATTTTATTCCAGTTTTATATTTTTTAATATTTAATATATTCAGTATTTAATTAATAAATTAATATTAATATATTAAATAATGAATAATAAATAATAGAACATATATATAGAATTCAATAAAACATATAATTAAAATATAATATATTTATTCATTTAGAGAAATAATTTTACATTATTTATATTATATGTAATTAATATATTTATTTATTTAGTTTATTCGTATATTTTTTATTTAAGTATGTTAAATAATAATAAAAGTAAATTTCAGAAAATTAAATAAATAAATAATAATATTATATTTATATTATAAATATTTATATTATAAATATTTATTTAATGCTTAAATAAAATTTATTTGATATTTATTATTCATTATTTACTATATTAATATTAATTTATTTTATTATTTATTAATTAAATACTGAATACATTAAATATTAAAAATTAATAAAGTAGAATCAAATAAAATATATAAATTAAAAATTAAATAAAATTATATATATTTTTATTTATTTTTTGTTTGTAATCACTATATATTTTAATTGTAAACATAATTTGGATAATAAAAGTAGAATTAAAATAAATAAAAAGAATAAAAGTAAATTTAATGAATTTAAATAAAAATTAAAATAAAATGATGATGTGGCAGCTTTTTGGCAGAAAAGGGTAAGTTCGTGTATCGGGTTGCCAAAAAACAAAAGGTGGTGTATTAAACTGCCAAGGTTTAACTGATGATTTGGCTTCTGTTTGCTGAGTCAGACCCACGTCAACTTTCCGTTGACGGACGTTAAATCCGTGTATCAAGTTGCCAAGAATGTAAAGGTCATGTATTTATTTGTCAAGGTTTGAAAGTCGTGGTTAAATGGCCAATCAAGTAAAGGTCGTGTATTTTTTCGCCATTATGCCCATTTAAATATCAATATATGCAGAAAATGGACCAACAACAGTATCATCAGATTCCATTTAATCCATGAATGGCAACAGTGGGACCCACTATTTTTTCATTCAAATGAATGGACCACATTGGTCTCGATACGCCGGTTTTCTGGTAATCAATAAAGAGGTCCATTTCCAGCTCAGATCGGGAAAACGCTTTTCTATTTGGTCTGTAATGCCACCATATTCCATTTAAGTGGGCATAAAGTGCATCAATGCGGATGCCCTAAGTCATAAAACATGAAAACTAGATAGTATGAATCAACTTATCAACAAAATATAATTCGGTGTCGTAATTAAACAACGAAAGAAATATGTATTTCAATTCATGGACAAATCGAAAATAGGGTTCAAATATCCTCTCATATCAGATAATATAACTAGTCTAATATACAAGTAATAATAAACAATATATAAAGAAGAGAATATAATTATCTTCCTTGTGTGAGGGTGCGACTTCCCTATGAGGTGTGATCTTCTATATCGTACGTGCCATTTCTATCTGTGCATGCCGCTATTCGCTTCTCGACTTTTTCCTCCCAATATTCGTTATGTGGCGTTTTATAGGTCTCAATAAAATAGTGCCCCTCCTCCGCGAGTAATATGCTCTCGACTTTTTTTTTAATTCTCTCCTCAAGCTTCTAAAAAAATATAAAATAACCTCTCGGTTTCATGAGACTGCCCCCTAAATTGATTTGGGCCTGCCTCCTATCTCTCCTAACATATGTTGACTCTTCAGCAAGAAATCAATAAAAATAATTTTTGTGATTGTATAATTCAACCTCCAGCAATTTAAAGGCTAAAAGACACATGTATCTCCTTAACTTACACCAGTACCTTAATTACAATATAGAAACTTTTATCACACAATTGCGCAATGCATAAACTTCTTCTACGAAACAACACGCACTGCATAAATATGGAAACAAACATCACAGCATTCCGCTATGTTATTTCCCGTGATCAAAGCTTAATTGATGTTTTTTTTTTCTATTTTATTTCAAGTATTTTCAATTTGCTATTTTGTTGTCACCTAATTTTTCAGACCTTTTAAAGTAATTGATGTTTCATTTCATAAGTTATTTTCTAATATGTTTGCCACTAACAACTCATGATTATATTTACCCACAACTACTATTATATGTTTGGGGAATTGTAATTACTTGTTAGTAAAAAAGCTATTAATTAAAAAAAGTGTATCTCATGATTAAGTATTGTGTTTCTAATATTTATTTATAAAATTCGCTGAAAAAAAATGAACAAGTCATAAAATAAACCTAACAATTACTGAAAGAATACAAAAATAGTATGAAATTTAAACTACAGAAAGAATATCTAATCTCTAATTAAATAATAAGACATGAAAAATATCTAATTCAGGCTATGCATACATAACCAATAAAATACAAAAAATTATACCATAAAAAAACCTGAAAAATTCAGGCTATGCATACATAACCAACAAAAATACCAAAAGATATACTATAAAAAACCTAGCAAAAAGAGAACTCGATAGTCATATATAAACATTAAAAATACTACAAATATTCCATAAAAAAAATAAAGAACCGATTTGTTTATCATCAATGTTCCACGAAATAAACCAGACAATACTATGAATAACAACAGCAGTTAAAGAAGTGTAAAACTTCATGTCACCAGACATCCAAAAGAAGAAGAATAAAAACAATTGAGATATCGTCATTTACCCAAAGAAAATACAAAAAATATACCATGCAAAAAATAACAAAAAAGAAACCTGGTAGTCATAGATAAACATCAGAAATACTCGAAGTTTTCCATCCACATCATACCTAAAAAAACAACCACAGTTTAGTTTGTCCACACTGTCCCATAAATTAAACCAAATAGCACTAAGAGGAATAAAAACCTTTTGAAATTTCTGAAAATCCATGCTAACACATATCATTAAACCTAATGCACAATCCAGATGCTACTTAAGTGGACGGAACTAATAAAGTATTCCGATAATTTGTCGGCACTGGACCCGGGGATTCATCGTCACTCTCGGACTATATTGGCTCCTTCATTCTTCCATGTTTGAACAACAAGTACGAAAACCTTAGCCGCTCAATATCAATGTCAAAGGTATCAACATTAATGGGCTCCTCAAAAACAAAATGTTCTGCAAAAGCATCAGTAAAGGAGTCACAAGGCGTCACAATCACTGCTAATTATTAAACAAATAAGGCCATATTTTTCCAAAATTCATTTACTTTTCTAGACTTCTCGTGATTAAAACATGCAACACCAGGAAATCCTTATCATACAAACTTTAACTTGCAGTCCGAGCCAATTGGTACACTGACACATACAACAAGTCTATTTTATACCATATGTGTAAGAAAAATAAACAAACAAATTACCTAATACATTATGCATATTGACAAAAGATATCTTTTTATACAAATAAACTTCAAATATACATGAACGGGTACACAAACAGCAAGATCAACATAAAAAATAAACTTAAAAAATAATACATTGTGCATATTGAAGGGAGGTATTTATGTTTTCAACAAGATAATTTCATATATTACGGTGCTAGGATTGCTAAATCAAAAATCAAAATCAAATTCATTTGCGCAATGAATATTTCCAACAACATCATTTTTTCGCTTAGTCAGAAGCTATAAATAATAAAAAAGCATATGTGGACTGCAATGCAAGATATGGGAGAGAATAAAATATGCACATATAAATCTCCACCGGGTATGTTTATCCAACTAAACAGGTTTCACTAAGTTTTACTACAAGTGGATGGAGATATAAGCTCGTACGTTATATAAGATGCTTTATAAAGGTTACAAGATGTTAGATGTTCAAGTGCTAGGATGACTGATGATTCAAAAATGTGTCAGTGATGATAGTTTTATCAAAATCACTAAGATTAAAGAAGATTTTAATAAAAACAGATCTCATTAGAGACAAAAAAAGTCCAAACTGGTTTATCTTCTAAAACAGTTGAGAGGAACGCTTCTTTTGATCTAATACGTTAAGATACAGCTTATAAGACATTTTCAAGTGCTAATTATGTAAGGGCACGCGATGGACTATGGCCGCACACTACTTAGTGTCGAGGGACAAACACGTGACTTTAAATGTACAAAATATCCTCTTTGCCAAGAAGCCAGTCTATGAGGTATTAGCATGTATACAATTTCCCCAGTTAAACTATTTATACTGCTAGTAAAAAACTCCAACAAGCATTAGTAAGTCTTTGACAAAGTGCACAAACAAAGCTGGATCACATTGCTTCAAACTGAAAGATACTTGTTTAACGCCAAGTATATTTAAGGACTTGTAATCAGCATTGGAAATTAACATGTTCCAGTTAGCATACCTTTTCTTATGGTAGTTAAACTAAGTTATCACAACCCATGAACACAACCTAAAATAAGTAAATAACCAATTTCTTGATATTTATTTATATTGATTTGTTCATGTACCATACAAAAAAAGATTAGTTCATGTATCATACAAAAAAAATGTAAAATTAAGACATGGATGCAACAAACATGCAATTTTTGACTAAATGTCGACATGGATACAATATTAACCTGCATAATATGGTACCAATAAATTGAATCCCTCTGATTCTTCACTATTAATTTCTTCTTCCTCAAAAGAAATTTCTTGGTCGAGGTTGAAATTAGAATCCACCTCCTTCAATCCATCGCTATAGTAAACGAAGCCTTCATTTGGTATCTATTTGGTTCCACTAACCTTCAATTTTTTCCCGAACTTAATTTTTTTCTGTACAAATCTTCGACTCTCGTTGTATTCAGCATTGGGAGTTGGGACCATCCTTTCTTTTCGATTATGCATCACGATTCTGCCTTCGGGCTATGTATCAGAAACATACCCCTTTTTTCCTTCTTTTTCTCCAGTGAGGATTTGGAAAAAAGAAATATCGACAGTGATTTTGAAAGGTTAGGGTTTGATGAACTTGGATCCATATTTTGTTTAATTTTGTTGTTGGGAAGTGAGATACTCAGAATCAAGATCCCGTTCAGTCTCATATTACACCAATGATATTGTTACCATTTTTATTCATTTAATTATTGATTTAATTAATCAATCACTTTAAATGCTAAACATGAGGTCAACGTGACTTGTATAGTCGTATGGAATTTAAAAAAACTGCTTTCATATTATTCGATTAAAATTCATCTACGGGGAATAAAAAACTTTATACTCGTCAAGTGGGATATAAGAAGATTTGAATCGTGTAGGGGGTAATTTTTTCCAATTTAAACCTCCTTAGCCACATGGGTCTCCACAAAGGTCACTCTTGGGCCAAAGTTGTGGATCCTTTTAGGGCTCAATTCCATCAATTCCTTGGGATTACATTGGGCTTTTATTTGGCCCTCAATAATGGCGTATTCGTGCTCTTGTTCAATATTTCACCATCCACCAAAAAATACTCCAATATGCTAATAATAAATATAAAAATGTCAATGTATATGAATCCATCCAAATAATAAATAAGTCAAAAAAATATAAATGTGCGTAAAATTAAGTTCATAAAAATATATTATTAAATTATATAAAACGTGCATGTTTTTCAACCTATTAGCTGGTCTCCAAGATTTTATGACTTTTTTTCTAATATATTTTTTTCATGTAATATTATTAAATATAATGAATATTACGCGCTTTTCGTATGAATAAATGTCGCGTGTTCATTCGCATACAAAAATAATTATTTACCAAATCTCTGCATATTCGTCGCCTATCTGTCTCATAGTTATCTCATAATGTAGACGCACTTGCTCAATTATATTTGACTGTCAGTCGCATAATTTTTTGCATAATGAAATGCCTCCACTTTTTATTTGTATTAAATAATGACTATGTGACAAATATCCTTCAGAACAGCGGTCTGAGTATGGCAAAGTACGAATTTACCATGCATATAAAGTTTCGCCTAATAATCACATATTATAACTAAAAATAAAAGAAATGGTTCTACAGATCAAAGTCTGACATATTTTTAATAGAGGAATAAGTATAATGAATATGCGGTTCAATATTCCTATCATGTTGTCAGTTTGTCGTATCGTATATGAAACGCTTCGACCTTTTTTGTACTAAATAATGTGACCAATATGTATCAAAACAGTTGTCGTGTAATAATATACGTCAGAACAGTTGTCGAGTAATAATCGCCGAATTTAAATTTATTAATTTGAATTTACCATTTTAAAAACAATCTTATAAGGAATCGCATTTTTCGAGGCTAACCAGTCAACATTTTTTAAATAACAATAATAAATGTATCGTATTTCTGTCGCGAAACAATCACATAATGACTCGTGTTTTCATGGCAAACCCTTGATTTGAACAATCGCTTTTGCATGAATACTACAAATACTACATAAGTGATCATGAGACAACTTGAAACGTCACATATCGATATACTACATGAATAAAGTCCAAAAAATTTCATCCACATCCCTATCACTATGTATAACAAAAACGTGAATGTATTTTGTATTTATTCTGGTAAGATCGTCTACCTCTGCATCCCAATCGAAGGTCATGATTCTCGTCTTTGATCATTTCATACAAGTTATCTACCCTATCGTTTTTCATCAGGGTCCATTGATTGTTGATCACGGCCAGACCCGCGGTCCTCCGCTTCATGGCTTTGGAGATTTTCATTCTTAGAAACTTTGGTCACACTAGATTTAAGATATTGAAAACCTCCTTACGTGGTTATGCTACAACGTTCCCGAGAGAACGATCTTTCTAAGAGTCGTTGACCGAACTGTTCACAGATAACTCCACAAAATATACAGAGAATGGTGTGAATAGTTCGGTCAATCACGGGTCTGTCACATTTTAATCGCAGATTAGCTTCTTGCACATGTTTTTAAATTTATCCAATTTTTCTCATTTTTCAACTATTTTGTGTAAGCTTGAGAGCATCTAATATGGAAATAGTGGGGATTGTCAGTAGATAACTTCAGCAGGCGAGAATTACAACTCATGCTTCTCGGGCTTACAAGAAAGGTTAAAAATTGAGGAGAAACTGAAAAAAATGTAATAACAGGTGCACGAAGCTGATCTGTGACTAAAATGCAACACTCGCTATTGATCGAATTGTTCAAACAATTTTCCGCATATTCGTCGCATATATGGCACGTAGTTTATCGCATAGTGAAATCACACTTCTTCAATTATCTTTGCCTATCTGTCGCATTTTATCGCATAATGAAATCACACTTGCTCAATTATCTTCGCCTTTCTGTTGCATAGTTTGTCGTATAATTATTTCGTACTTGCTCAATTAACTTCACAGTCACATAGTTTGTCGCACAATTATTTCGTCTTCACCAATTATCTTTAGCTGTGTGTCGCATTGCTCAATTAACTTCGCTTGTCTGTCGCATAGTTTATTGTATAATTATTTCTCAATTTATCAATTATTTTTGCATGTGTGTCGCATAATTTATGCTCTTGGGTTTTAGGTTTATAAATGAGTTCAATAAACAAGACGACCAGAGCTTTTATGAGCTCATAACAAATTGAGCTCGAGCTAATATCTTTTTTCTTTTATGAAGTGAGTTGAGTCGACTTCTTTATTTAACAAGCACGAATATGAGGTGTTCTACTCTAATTATTATAGATTTTATCAATTATCTTTGTCTCTCTGTTGTATAATTTATCGCATAATTTGTTTCGCATATAATAGGATGAAAAAATTAACTTATTAATTGAAAATGTGAAAAACTTAATCCATAATGTGAAAAAAGTTATTTTCTCGTGTATTATTCCCAACAATAACTCCTTCCAATAAGAAGATACTTATATACATACTTTATTCTCTATGATAATAATCTCACCCACAAAATAATATCACCCTAAAAAATGAAAAACGAAAAAATAAACACTGACATGGCACCATGTTACACCATGATTGGTGAGTATAGGATAATAATAGATAAATTTTGAAAATTATGAAACAAATATTATTATTATTATTATTATTATTCATACGAAATAACCACATCCACCCATCTTAACAGACCGAAAGAAATTTCCCGGCCATGGCCACAATTTTCTCCCCATCCGCCGTCCTGTCCCCAACCACCACCACCGCCGCCGCCAAAACCCAGCCGCCACCCAAGCCAAACCTCATCCCCACACCCCACAAACCACAAAGCACCCTAGCCACAACCCTAGCCGCCGCCGCCCTAGCCACCACGATCCTCACCGCGCCGACCCCGCCCTCCACGGCGGCCGACGCGTACAAGCTCTACTACGGCACCGCCGCGAGCGCCGCGAACTACGGCGGGTACGGCGGAAACTCGGACAAAAAAGCCTCCGCCGAGTACACGTACGACGTCCCCGAGGGCTGGAAGGAGAAGCTGGTGTCCAAGATCCAGAAGGGCACCAACGGCACCGACAGCGAATTCTACAACCCTAGGAAGAAGTCGGAGAAGGAATACCTGACATTCCTTGAGGGCTTTCCTCGATTGGCCCCAAAGGAGGCCATCCTCAACAATCTGGCACTGTCCGACGTGGATCTGCAAGATCTGATTGCCAGCGCCGACAAGGTGGACTCAGAAGAGATGAAGGACGACAAGGGACAGCTGTACTATTTGTACGAGATTGACGGGACTGTGGCTCATAGCCTCATCTCTGTGACCTGCGCGAAGAACAAACTGTACGCGCATTTTGTGAACGCACCCACTCCTGAGTGGAACAGGGATCAAGAGATGCTCAGGCACATTCACGAGTCTTTCAAGACGGTAGGTTGAAAGGTCAGATTTTGTGATGAATATATATAGGTGAAGAACTGGTTTTGTGATTTTGTTTGCTTTGTTGTATAGTGCCATGATAATTTTCTTGTTATGACAATATGTGAGTAAGATCAATTCGCCTGATGCCTATTTGGGGATTGTTGAGAAGGAATTGGTTTGTTGATGGAACATATTTGTGCTATGGCTAGTTAATAATCGAATGACGGTGTACTTGAAATTGTTTAGTGTGCTGTTCCTCTTGTGGCATTTAAAAGCATTTTGCTTTGAAACAATCATTCAAGAAATTGTTTAGTGTGTGTTCCTCTTGTGGCATTTAAAAGCATTTTGCTTTGAAACAATCATTCAGTCACTTGTGACCGATTCTTGTATATGTCGCAACTTCTAGTATATGCATTGATATCGTACAATTTATTTGTTAGAAATGTCCGTATCACAAAAAGATTTACCGGTTTTAAGTAAGACTGCTAGTTTTCTGTAAAGGAGCTCACATTTTTCAACTTTCACACCAAGCCTATCTTCTCATTTTTTGCATGAGAAATCCTTCGTTTTTAGAATGAAAACATATTGAAGTTCAGAAGGCTCAACTCACCCAATGGAGTATCCACAAAACTATCCACAGATCCACATGCAAAAATACCGATGTAATTATTTCGTAAATGGGTACATAATGTTTGCCTTGTTATGCCCAAATTCAATTTTGTGACAACGTGCAACGAACGGGAAATAGATGCTTTCAATAAATCCGAATATAGAGGAGATCAGTACAAGGTGAAACCATCATCGTAAGACACGTGGCATCCTCGTTGGCAAGGAGGGGCATTCTCGTCATACTCTGCACAACAGCTCCATCTCCTTTTCCAGTTGGATCTGCCAGAGTTTGGCCTCTCATCTTTCTCATTCCATTTGTACACAATCACACCAGATTTATCGCTCCACTCTCCATCAATTCCTTGGTGAGGTGGGGCCAATGCAAATAATCCTCTCTCCCCTGCATAATATTTAAAAAATGCTTTACTTTCCCATAAATTACACACACATACCATATACACACAAAAAAAATGGAGGTAAAAGGGAAATAATGAGATCATGTTCTTAAAGCTCAAGTGAATCATTATTATTGTTATTATTATTATTATTATTATTATTATTATTATTATTTTCTCAACACAGCTCAGGTAAGACATATATGCAATGTTGATTCAACCAGTAACTGCGTAGCTATAGATAGCCATTCATTAGAGAGGGTATGAAGCTGCAGTTCATAAAAGTTTATTCTTTTACACATATTTTATTCTGCAGAGAACATTTTTTTATTCACAGAATCACAGCCATGTTAAATAAAAATTAAAACCCATAATTACCAAGTAATAGCCACACTAACTCCTAATAGCCGGGTTGTCTGACTTGGAATAAATCTACTTTGGATGATAAAAAATTTTGCACACTTTCTCCGAAAATTAGGTTGAAAGGGGAGCCATTTCAGATACGCTCAAGAATCTTTAACAGAGGTCCAAAGTCCGATTAAAGAAACAACCGGATATAAAGCTACAAACTTTATTAAAATAAAAGGAAAGGTAAAAATTAAATGAAAATTGAGGAAAACAAAGAAAGAAGAGGGGATTAATGCAATGGTACCAGTGGCGTGGCCATGAAAAGAACAAGCAGTTGGAGAGTTGCCGCTGTCGTCATAAAGGGTGTTGCACCTCAAGCATCTCTTCTGTGCACTTGAAATCTGCAGCAATATTTTGGGGTTGATTCTTGGGGATTTATGTGGGTTAAGTTTGATTGGTCGGAGAGGATAACGGTATTGGTAAGCCAAACTCATTTATAGGATAGGATACCACAAAAAATGGGAATTCTATAATTATCTTGGACAAAAACTAAAAATGCAAATAAAATTCTTTCTAAACCACAATGTTACAAAATAGAGTGTGCTTTCCCTCTCCCTATAATCCTATCGTACAAAAATCACGAATTTTGATATGACCCCACTTAATAGGTAGGCATAATTTGGGAATATATATAAATATTTATAACCATTAGATAATATTAAAATCGTTATTATAAATTAAATGTTGGATTACGTATTTGCATTACATTAATTTAGAACATCTCCAATGACCTTTCTATTGCTCCATCTTATTGTCACATGGCATAAAATATCTTATGTGGCATTAAAAATGTCTAGAAGGAAGTCATTCTAAACAACTTCTATTATATATTATATTATTTATTTAATTTATCTCTCTTCTCTAATTACAATTTTACGTATCATAAATGACACCATAATTAACATTAACCATTGGAAACAAAATTTTTTAATTTTCTTTCTCCATACAATACATCACAAAATGAACAACTTTCCATTGGATATGCTATTAGAATTACATTAAACACGATCATGAAAATTGAGAGCCGTATACAATAATTTATATAGGATTACTATCATCGTGAAAATAAAATTGGGGAAGAGTGCTCCGTATAAATATTTCAAGTATTCTAACTCATTAGGGCATCCACATCCCTTAACACAAAAATCATTCATTAAATAAAAAATTAACACGTTCTCTCATCCACATCATCTCTACATCATCTTTCTACTAAATCTCTCTCCATTTAAACACACACCCGCATTCCTATACATTCATTTAAATACATATGTGGGACCCATTATCCACTCATTCCATGTAATTTTTTATATTCTATTCTCAATAAAATTTAATATTTTTAAATTATAATAATAAATTTTAAATGCATGAAAATAAATTAAAGTTACAAGACCAAAATTATTGATACATATTGAGAAGTGTGATATAGATAAAAAAAATAAAATATAAAAAAAAAAGAAAAAAAAAAGTACTCCTGACCCGCATGAGTATAAACTGTGAACGGGAATCACCAAAAAGCTTTGATGCTTGTTTATCTTGTTCGCTTGGTGTTTAGTTGTTTGTAGGGAGCACTTCTGTTTAGTATTTCCATTATTAGCTCCTTTGTATATTGTTGTGTTTTTTGGGCTCTTCTTGACCCATTGGTTAGCCGTTAAGCCGGTTTTTGTATCAAACTTTGTATATTTGAGTTTGCTTATTGATGTGCCGGCAACTGGGGACTAGGTTGAACCGACTGGTTATGAGCTCCGGTATACCTCAATCACTGAAGATGACCTGCAAAAAGAGCCAGGATTGTTTTCCGACGTTAGTCCGATGCTCAAGTCAGTATGGAGAAGAAAGTGGGGATAATAAGTTGTGTAAGTAGATAATTGTAAAAAGTGGGTAAAGGATTTACAATGGTACTTCAACCATTTAGTAGGAGAATGCATGCCCGAAATAGTCCTCCCGAATTGCCCAACTACCCACGGTTAGCCTACCCAGCTGCCCGGGTTTGATCTTATCTTCTTAGTACGTATTTTCATCTTAATCACGTCCTAGTCATCATTAGATTCATTCTTATCCACATTAGATTCTCTATTATCTAGTGTATCTCAGTTTATTCAAGTCGGTCATCCGAATGTTGTGAGTACATCATTTTAGGTCGTCATGATAAGACGACAATACCCCAGTCGAGTTGTTCGTTCTCTTTTAGGTTGTCATACTACTAAGGTCCATCTGAGTCTCCTCAGGTCGAGTTATGTATGTTTAGATTACGCGACTCGTCCTTCGGGCTCCAACTCGTCTGAGTCGATCTTCCTTTTATCATCTGTATTCGGTCGACCATTAGGTCGTTCGATCAACCTAATGATGTTGTTTTAGGCTCTCTCCACCTTATAAATAGCTCTTCTTTTGTCAAGAGAACACTTTTGCCTCCTTTAAATTTTCTTGCTCTCAAAATTCTCTGCGCCTCCCAACTTTCATTCTCCAGTTCATCAGAGGCAACAGTTGTCGGCTGAATAATTGCGGCGACGACTAGTGGCAAGGCATGCGATGGCCGACGGCTGGTTATGGACGGCGCCCGACGATTTTGTAGTTTGTATAGTATGTGTGTGTGTCATGTACGTACAATATGTGTGTGTGTGGGTGTCTGCGAGTCAGTGTCTGTGCCTGAGAGAGGGAGAGATTGTGAAGGTGGTGTGATGTGTAGTGGCCACGTGGCATGTTATTATTGGGGTGTGTGTGAGTGAGTATAGGTATGAGTCCCACGGCTTGATAATAAAATGTCCAAAATACCCTTAATAAATATATAAGAGCTGAATTTTTTTGTTACCGCTAGATTATCTGATATGATGGCTAAGATTTATTCATATTTCTTTCACTGAGCACCATTCTTACCGAAGTGCATCCCTATATAGAATTTATTGTGTAGTCCAAATTTGTGTCCCAAATTTAAAAGTCTTGGATCGTCTCAGGCAAGATTTATTCATATATCTTTCACTAAGCACCATTTTAACCGAAGCGCATCCCTATATAGAATTTATTGTGTAGTCGAAATTTGTGTTCTAAATTTAAATGTCAAATAATAATTATTCATAACTTACGAGTCAATATCAACTTTGACGTAAATGAGTAGCCAATTATTTATAGTTTACTAAATTAAATTTATTGAATTAGATAGTTTATGCAAAACCAAAATCATTTTAATTAATGAAACAATATATGTTTTATAATTATACTTATTATTCACATAGATTTTTCAAATATATTATATAAAATTAACAAAATATTTATTTTATGGAATCACATTGTAGTCAAATCAAAATTTTAATAAAAATTTTTAAACTTCACTTAGTTTGAAATGAATATAATATAATTTATTATCAGTTACGTGCACCGTACATGTTGTGTAGTAATTTTAAATAAACATGTTTTATATAATTTTGCACAATTTAAAGTTCATATAATATTTTTATAAATTAATATAAGTAAATTGTTACATATTGATTTCATATATTTTAATTTACAAATATTATTTAAAAAATATTTTTAATTTATAAATATTAATGAATATTTTTATCAGTTTGCTGTAAAATAGGGAAGAGAGTTACTACATAAATATTTTAATGTATGCAATTCTGTTTTTTTTTTGGTTTTTCATGAGGTAAAATTTTACATCTCATTGCTGATCTAGTGTCCTAAAGTCGTATATATGAGGATGCTTAGATATAAAAATTTTTGGATTTGTTTGGATTTTTTGGTTTGGTTTGGTTAATTTTGAAAAATGTGGTATAGTTAGTTGTTAGTGGGTATATTAAAATAATATTTTAAATAAAATAATTAAAGTTGATTTGATGTAAAAGTATGAGAGAGATGATTTGAAATGATGGTTAGTTAAAATTATGTGAGTGGATGAATAGTGAATTAAGGTTGATGTGATGTGTAAGAATGATTGTTTGATATTATTTAATTATACTAATAATATTAATGATAGTTGGGTTGAGTTAAAGTTGAATTAAAAAAAATGATTGAATTAAAAATGTTTAGATTTTTGGATAAGTTTTGTAACCAAGCATTCTCATAGGTTATTTATTAAAGATTTGAAGGGTAAAAAAAGGACATTTGACGCTGCTACTTTTTAGTTTTTATGTCTGAAAAACTGAAATCGCTGCTTTAAAAATGAAAGACAAATGGGCCCCCACTAAAAAAAAAAAGATTAACAACTCATATTTTAGGCTTTTAGCACAGTTTTTCTTACAGACCTTATTCCCTTGCATCCACCTGTATCCCACTCGGCATAGTTAACCACTGTCGTTACAAAGTTAATATGAAAATTACCTCAGGGTTTAGTGACTCACATGACTTAAAAATAATAATCTAGATTACTCCACTCATAAATAAGGGTTTATGAGACTCTGTGTACATTTATTACCTTATTATCATAAAAGTCCCTACTGTAATAATGATAGTAATTAAAAAAAATGACATTTGGAGTCCAACATTGATTTTATCCATCGTGTGTCTGTAGAGTATCTGCTCGCTTCAGTCCCCAACCCGCGCCTGCCGCTTTGCATTCCCTTCTTCTTCTTCCCCTAAAAACCTCTCTCCTTTTCACATTGTTCTCCTCTTAAGCTCCCACATTTTGGTTTCAGTTCAATCACACTCTTAATCATAATTTAAATGAAGCAAACTTCATCTGCCGCGCTCTGTGCGTTGGTAAGTGTGTGTGTTTTGGTGTTTACTGCACTCGTATATGCTTGGCTTTTCTTTCTCTTTACTTTATTGTCTTTTTTGCTTGCCCTGGTTGTGATTTGTTGATTTTGGTGTTTAGCCACTTGTTTGCTGTTTAGTATTTGAAGCTCAAAATTGAAATAAAAAAAAAAACGATTTCTTGAGTTGGTCCTTCCATTTTCAGCACAAGGGTATTAAGTCATTACTTCTCTCTCTCGCTCCCTGTTCTCAACCCTTATGCTTGTGTTTGAAAATTAGTTCTTGGACAGTGTTGTAAGATCTTGATTCGGTGGAGCAGGTGAAAATTATGTCTTTTCTTCTGGCTTAGTGTATTTAATTTAATTTTGATGGCTCTTTAAGAGCTTCCTTTGTGAGCACTATCTGTAAGCAAAATTGGTACCTTTTTTGACACTTGGTCGAGTTTGCATATATTTGTGATGTCAACCACTCACTTGCAATGTCTTTCTCTTTCTATCTACCTGTTTTAGTAATTGGTGAAGACCCTTTTAGATTTTATTTGCATAGCAGGGGTCTGAATAAGAATATTTGGTGGTTTTATGACCTCCGGATCATTTGAATGTTCTAGTTTGAGAAATGAGAAATTTGTTATCACCCTGGAGTAGTTGGGCAATTAAGTGATAAAATGATAAAAATGCTATCGATAAAAAGGTTTGAAGTTGCCTTGTTTGTAGTTCTGTTTTATCCATGGAATCATTTAAGAGTTTCCATATGGGTTATCTATCTAAGTTTCCAAATTAGTGTTTTGAGATTTTTCATTGCATTCTGTAGATTATGTCAGTGTGTTAGTCACTTTCATTGTGTGGGTCTTTCTTGGTGTGCAAACTGGACCACAGACCTTTCAGCATTTGGCACATACAGTGTTTCCGCGAATATGTTTGCAGTTGTGTAACGTGCTTCGTTGGTAGGTTCTTGCTCTCAGTGGATTTTGAACATAACTATTTTCATTAACGGAGAAGATGGTAATTTCTTATGAAATATCTATTCTTATCTAGTTTCCTTCATTCAAATTTTCTTGTCTTAAAGTACTCTTGCATGTGCATTTGTTCATTCAAAATTTCTCATCTTTCGAAATTACTTTAAAGTACTATTAGTAATTTTTTTTTTTTTGAGAATAACGTGATCAAAATATAAATGGATGGTGGTGCTATCTCCATTTTTGGAAGTGCTTGCTCACTTACTAGTATGCTGCATGATGTACCCAATTGCATGTGTAGTTTGTCCAAACTCTTTCCATTTTCCTAGTCGAATTAAAACCTCCCGTTAGGGCCGACGGCATAAATCTTAAATTGAGCTCGATTTATTAATGCTTGTCTTGTTTACATTTGTTTCAGTGACAATTGCAACTTTCGCAAACTTTTAAAAGCCCACCATATCAGTTGAAGGGATAAGTGCAGGTTCTGTTTGAAGATTGGGGTGAACTTCTTTTCTCGTAGCTGATGACGGAGTTGAAGTTCTTTTCCATATGGCTTCAAGCTATTCTGCTTCTTTCTGAACTCGTCTTCAACGCTTTTGGTAAATTCCCAAACCCTTGTCATGCGTTAGTATTTCTTCAAATCCCTACTGCTCTTGGGTATGAACTACAACATAAAGCACTTTGTCTTACCTTGCAGCTTTTATATCCACCGTCTTCTTCTGCTTACTACTAATCTGGCCCCGTTTTGATCAGGATATATTTCAAATTACTCCAATACCAATGTCTATCATCTGAATTATGACACTTGTATTATTTAAATTTTCATCTAAAGCTCAAATGCTTCAGGTGTGTTTGTAAACCAAATTACTCAATCCAAATTAATTCATACTCAAAATCTAACTCAAATTTAGCTCAACTCCACTATCCTCAATATTATCAATATAATTAAATAATAACAATAAATCATTTTTACACATTACATCAACTTTAATTCACTGTTCATCACTCGCATAATTTTAACTAACCATCACTTCATATCATCACTCTCCTACGTTCACATCAAATCAACTTTAATCATTTTATTTTAAATATTATGTTAATATAAACTTAAAAATCCAACCAACAACTAACTATACCATTTTTTTTCTAAATTAACCCCAGTTAACTAGAGTGAATTTATTGGTTTACATACACCCGAAATCATGTCGGGATACTAACATTCAATAATCACATCATCCCCGAAATAATGCAGGCGCATATGTCGGGATAAACATCGGCACCGACCTCTCCAACGCCCCCTCGGCCGCCGAAATAGTGGCCACCCTACGCGCCCGCGAGATAACCCACGTGCGCCTCTTCGACTCCGACCCCCACCTTCTTGCCGCCCTCTCCGGCACTGGCATCGAGGTCATGGTCAGTGTCACCAACGATGAGCTCCTCGGCATCGGTGAGCGCCCCCCCACCGCCGCCGCTTGGGTAAAAAACAACGTCGCCGCCTACCTCCCTTCCACCAACATCACCGCCATTTCTGTCGGTAGCGAAGTCCTCACTTCCCTCCCAAATGCGGGTCCCGTCCTCATCCTCGCGATGGCAAATCTCAACCGAGCCCTCGTTGCCTCAAACCTCAACTCTAACGTCAGAGTCTCCACCCCACAGTCGATCGATGTAATCCCTCGACCCTTCCCCCCTTCGACTGCAGAGTTCAACTCCACCTTCAACTCCACTCTTTTCCAAATTCTACGCTTTCTCAAGAACACAAACTCGTTCTTCATGCTCAACGCGTACCCTTACTATGAGTACGTAAAAGGCGGCGGCATTTTCCCGCTCGAATATGCGCTTTTCGAGCCACTCCCCTCGGTCAAACAGATCGTCGACCCGAACACGCTTTTCCACTACGATAGCATGTTTGACGCCTTGGTGGACGCGGCTTATAATGCCATCTCATCAATGAACTTCTCGGGTATTCCGATTGTTGTGACCGAGACGGGATGGCCGTCGCTCGGCGGGCCCAACGAGCCCGACGCCACCCGTGAAAATGCTGAGACTTATAATAAAAACTTGGTGGGAAGGGTCGTGGGGAATGATACGGGCCCGCCAAGCCAGACCGGATTTCCGATCAATACGTACATTTACGAGATGTATAATGAGGACAAGAGGCCCGGGCCCGTTTCAGAGAGGAATTGGGGGATTTTGTTCTCGAATGGTAGCGATGTGTATGACTTGAGCTTGAGTGGTTCGGTTAGTCTTGCCACGAATGCTTCGGGGGTTTTTTGTGTGGCGAGAGGGGATGCGGACGAGGTTGCTCTGCGGAATGGGCTTAACTGGGCTTGTGGGCAGGCGCGGGCGAATTGTAGGGCGATCCAGTCAGGGCAGCCTTGCTATGAGCCCAATACTTTGGTGAATCACACGTCGTATGCTTATAATGATTACTATCAGAGGATGCGTGGCTCGGGCGGGACTTGCGACTTTGGTGGGACGGCAATGTTGACTAATGATGATCCTAGTAAGTTTTTTTTTTTTTTTTTTTTTTTTTTTTTTTTTTTTTNTGAAAAAAATATCATTTTAAGATATTGTTACAAAATATTATTATTCTTTGTACATGTTAGTTAAATAGACTTGGCTGTTGGATTTACTTTGTTTGTTATGGCTGATAATGCTTTCTATTTAATGGCTTATGATATGATCTCTCCCATGATTTTGATAGAGCACTTAAGTATATTGATATGAAATGTTCACAAAAACTTATGCGTGTACTTGATTTGTGGTATAATGTTTTACTTCTTGGTTGAAAATTTAATGGAACAAGTTAATGGTTGTTTGAAAAGTAAGCTGAGTTACTATTGTGGAGGCATACCAATGTAAACCAATTATACAATGACCGTGTCAAATGTTCTTTGGACTCTTTAAAATTATTAGGAATCTCTTTTAACCGTTTAAATGATTGTTGTCATTATTATTACTATTATTATTATTATTATTATTATTATTATTATTGAGCTATGTCTCACTTTTAATATAACGTAAATGTCTACAAATAAAAAACTACTCATTCTGATGCAAAAGCAACCGTGCATGCTTTTAAGATGTTTCTCTGTGAAATTAAGACGTTTCTCTGTGAAATATATGTATGGTTTGTGGTTGGGGAGCTTGAATTTACAGTTTTTTTTTTTTTGCCCTTAAAATTGGTTTTATTGCTGGCTAATTGATTATTTCTGGTATTACATTTGTGCACCCATTCAGATTGCTAGAGATTTCTCTTCTGATTTCTCCACAAACATGCAATTTTATGTTTTATACTGTATATAATGACAAATTTTCATAATTGTTCTTTAATCTGCTCCACATCTCTCACATGCATTGCTGTTGGCTGGAGATAGATGAGCAAATACTAGTGGGATGATATATGTTCCTTTACGATCCGTAGCTTTCGTAAGAAATGTTCTAATCCGTTAAAATTTTTGTCACATTTGGCAAAAAATTAAATATATCACATCAAAGTCACTTTATACTCGGTTCGTTTTACTCAGAAATTGAAAATATAAATAAAGAGAATTGAAGAGCCTAGGGAAATGTTATTAGATTTCTGTTTCTGTTTCCAGTACGACCTTTTGAAACGAATAATTTTTTTCCTTAACTATACTTAGCTTTTTTAATCACCCTTTCTGTGTGGTGTTCATTTGCAGGTTATGGATCTTGTAGATTTGCAGGAAGGTGAGAAAGAGAGCACCAACATTTATTAATATTTTACCTGGACAACATTAGTCATTTTGCAGTATATATTTATTTTGACTTATATACTTTAATGGTTTATATTTTTGGGTGCAGCTCGAATTCGACGGGGGGACTGTCCCCAGCGCTGGGACCTGTTGGCCCTTCTTCTCGGAGCTCAAAGAAATTAGTCCTTCATATCAGTACAGTAGTTGTGCAGTATCTACTATTCTGTGTTTGCTTGATGTGAATTTAAGGAACATTTTGGTAGCATGATCACTAGAAACTGGGATCGNCGTTTGTTTTGATGTGCACATTTGGAGAAAGTGTTTCGGACTTGGATATTGACATTGTATGGCCAGATTATTGGTTTCAATCTGGGCTAGTCTAGAATGAAAATGAAGAAACTGAACACTTGGGTTTATGTTGTTTTTGGATTAATTTTTCGAGTTTGTCCCGATATAGGATCGTAGCGGATTTCTTCAAGTTTTATGAGCTCATATTGTGTTTAAATTTCAGCTCTTTATGTATGGTGGTACAACTTTTATTTTTATTTTTTATTTTGTTGAAAATGCAGTCAAAATTATATTATTATTTTTTTCATTCAAAAAGATTACTGGGCTAACGGTTAGTTCTGTTTTCAAATTAAATTGTTATACCTTAAAATTAATGCGAATCTCTACTTTAAAACAATATAAGATAATATTTACAATATAAGATAATATTTATCTATCTATTTATGCTATTATAGAGGAGAAGTATTTTTGTTAAAAATTGTACGAACTAAATATTTTTTATCTTCGATATAGCTGTAATTGCTAGCATATCATTTAATAAAATTTAATTAATAAAACATCTATAGTTTTTCTCGCTAAAAATCGTTACAATTTATTTTATCACACACACACACACACACACATATATAGATATGAGATCATATGAGAAATGGTAGATAGTGAAAGAAATAAGAATGAATAGGTACCATTAGATCTCACATATCAATGATCATGATTAAGTCAAAAATTAAACATAGAGTCAAACCTGCTATTACAATTCTGTAAATATGTGTATAATTTTTGGTCAAATATACACAATTAATCACTAAATAAGGGCATAATGGTAATCACCCAATTACACCATCATTTACGTGTGGGTCCCACTACCACCAAACCAAACATCCATTCCTCTCTCACACACATACACGCACCAACATCCTCTCCTGGCCAAATTGCGAAAACTAGCCAGTAAATTAGACGGGTTGGCATTTATACCCACCATCTTTCGACTTTGGCAATAATAACCAAAACGTTTTAAAAAATCGGTCTTTCTACCCAAATCCGGCCAAACTCGTCGGAACTCTGCCTGAGGTCACAAAACATGCCAGCGTGAACTGCACGTGGACGAATTAATCCACCTCAGCTATACGGTCTATAAATACAACATCCACGTGTTTTCCCTTTATTTTTCACTAAAAAATCGGCCAAAAATCGAACAAAAAAGAAAAGCCCCAATCTTCGAGCAGAAACTCTAATGCTTCATTCTGCAAATCGATCAAGAACCCTAGAAATTAAGACGTCGATTTGATGACATCCTCAATATTCTTGCGAAGTAATAGGAATCCAAACTCTTCTCCTCCTGCGTACAGTAAGATTCCTTAATCTATTCCATTGTTTCGCACCAGTTTGTCTGTTCTTTATAAATTTCGTTTTTGTTTTTTTTTTTTTTTTACAATAATACACCACTATCAAGAGAGTATACTTAAAATGCTAGAACTAAAGTGGTGGTCCTGCATTGGTTTTATGTTTGGCTTTATACAGACATGTGGGGACATAAGACATATATTTTATTCATATGAAAAATTGTTAATTTTTTTCCTGATGAAATTTTAATTTTTTATTTATCACAACTCGTGAGAGTTGTCAACTCAGTGTTGTTGTGTACTATGGTGGTCAATTTTTCAATGAACCTATTGCTTACCATAAGGGGGGTGATTCAGTTATCTTTGACTATGTTCATAGTAAAGGTATGAAAATAGAAACTCTTTATAGTTTAACTGATGAGGCTGTTGGAAAAGGAAAATGAGGAAACATTATGTATTGTGTGGCAATAGCTTCCATGGTGTTTTCACTGATGAGGATGCTAGTGTAGTGCCCCGTTTATTTGTAGATTATTTGAGAATATTATTATTTTTTTTATTGTTATTATTATTATTACTATTATTGTTATTAATATTTATATTTATTTTTCTTGAATGCCATAATATTAGTCATTGCCAAAATGTGATTAAATGCTAAATGTCTAATTGTTTAATTGATTTTCGTGATTTTATTTGATTATCAAATGTGAATAATGTGCATTAATATATATATATATATATATATATATATATATATAGAGAGAGAGAGAAAGGATCATATGAGAATGACTCTTAATGCGAGAAATAAGAATAAATCTACACCATTAGATCTATCAAGTCAATGGTGTAGATGAAGTCAAACTTTCATATTTAATGGTCAATCATTAATGATAATCTTGTAATTATCTGAACTATTGTGGTCAAATATGTACATTTGACTAATAATTAAGGGTAATTTGGTCATTACACATATACCACATGACCCACACTATATTTTTTATTCTCATCTCTCGCATTCACACACAATTTCACACACAACACACACACACACACTCCAGCGGGCAAGGCGGAAATTCAGCCCCAGATTGCCGCCGCCACCGGACTGCCGCCGCTACCATTCCGGCGAGCGCGGTCAGCCATCCCTGTCAGCGCCCTCCCCTTCTCCTCCTCCCAGACACGGCCGGAATCAACCCACCCCAAACCACCGGTCACTGCCATTATCCCGATCTCTCCTGTCGCCGCCCAACCGTCGCCGCCGCCGCCGCTACCATCCCGTCGAGCGCCGCCAACCATCCCAGCACCGCCACCACCGTCACCTGCCCATATCTCAATCTCGCTAAGCCCGCCATTCGAGCTCCCCGATTGAACCGACGGCGAGGGCAGCCGTTCCGGCGAGTTGCAGAGGGCGACAATAGATTCGAGTGGTGAAGACGAAGATGACCTGAACGGGATGAGCTCGCCGGCGACCTGAACGGGAGATTGGATGCGGCGGCCGGAAATGCTTTTATGGCTGAGGTGGAACAGGTGAATTTTGATTTAGGATACATAGATTGTTGCTAATTTTCTGTGAATGAGTTTGGTGAAGGGCTTATTGACCGAGTTCTGTGAGTGTAATTTTGGTGAATGAGTTTGGTGATTTCTGTGATGTATTTTTGGCTGATTTATGTGATGTAATTGATTTAGGGGTAATCAAATTGGCTAACTGAAGGGCGAATTGGCTGATTTCTGTGATGTAATTGATTTATGCGTCAAATTTTGCTGATTTTGTGATGCAATTTTGGTGATTTGGGGTTGAATTGATTTAGGGTTAGTTTATGGAAATTAGGTTAATGTTTGTGTAATTTTTTTAAATTTTAATTATAACATAAATTAATAGTTAAATAAATATTTGTACTAAATTATTAATAGTTTAATAAATACAATAATAATGATAAGTAAATTTTAAAACCTAAATCCGACATTGACACAAATAATCGAACTTTTAAAATTTAAAAATTATATTTGAACAACATATGGAGTTTCGAATCGGAAATAGTTTTAAAATTAAAAGTAAAAATATATAAAATATTTTTTTCGATTTAATCAAAATAATTTTTTCGATTGTTGGACGTTGTTCGATTTTGTGCAATCTGAGAGACATTTATGTGCAATCCGTACAACGCTAATGTGCACTCGCAATACATAAAAAATATAAATAAAAAATAGTATCATTTGTAAAAAAAATATTAAAAAAAGAAATCAGCAATATTTTTTTTATATAGTTCAACATGTTCGGCTACTTTTTTTATTTAAAAAAAAAACTATATCAGTCATTAACCAACTAATATTATTCGATCTATTATTAGAATTACTATAATTTACGTGCAATCTGAGAGACATTTATGTGCAATCTGTCTAAAATTAATGTGCACTTTTATTATTTAATGTTTTGTCCAAGCCTAAATCAAAACCAAAATTATTAGATTATTTGTCCACTTAACCGAATTAATCTAAATAATAAAAATTATTTATAATGTATATTATAAATAAAATAACTTATATTTTATATTTTATAATATAAATTGTAAATTATTATAATTTATCGTGTTGTGATAAAGTTTTGTCCATTGCAAATGGAGCTGGAAGAGTCATTGTTGACAATTCTCCTGGTATAGTGCTAATAATGGACTAGATCAAAATGACTCAATTAAATTCTAGTGCTTCTTCTATTAGTGAAGTTTCTAGAAAAAAAAAATATATCAAACGGCGCAATGCACCTTGAGTCGCTACGGAAACAGCCTCCTTGTATAATTACATGGGTAAGATCTGCGTACAACTGACCCCCAGACCTCAACCTGTTGGGAATATACTGGGTATGTTGTTGTTGTTGTATCGTGTTGTGATAAAGTGCATCGTACTATTTTATAAAGTGCAAAGTGGAGTTTTATAAAGTGCAACATATTAATATATAAAGTGCACTGTGTTGTGATAAAGCGTATCGTACTGTTTTATAAAGTGCAAAATGTCGTATTTTCGATCGATATAGTGCAATCCATCTAAAATTAATGCGCACTAAAAGTGCAAATATTATTTAATGTTTTGTCCAAGCCTAAACTAAAACCAAAATAATTAGATTATTTTTTCCGGTTAACTGAATTAATTTAAATAATCAAAATAATTTATAATTTATATTATAAATATAAATTATATTTTACATTTTATAATATAAATTATAAATTATTTTAATTTATCGTGTTGTGATAAAGTGCATCGTGCTGTTTTATAAAGTGCAAAGTGTCCTTTTATAAAGTGCAACGTATTAATATATAAAGTGCACTGCTTATAATTGTAGTGAATTAATACGTTTATCAAACTAGTTACCCGATTTACATTAAATCCCGTAAATTGTTTGTGGTTTATTATAAAACTATATTCATAAGTTAATTTTTTTTTTTGTCGTTGTTTTCGACTTAATTTAACAATATATTTGAAGAAAAATATATAAAAAATAATAATAGTATTTTTTTATATTGTCCGTTTGATGTGTTATTTCATTTTTTTTAATTGTAAAGTCAAAATTAAATTAACCAAATTTTTTTTATTATTTTTATATAATTCATGGTTGAAAAATTTCGAGTTCGGTCGGTCGATCTATATAGTGTAATCTGATAATCGTGATAAAGTGCAACGT